CCGCCACGCCTACTCCAGGACCCACCGGGCCCTGACCCTGGCCCTGGCCCACCCCCAGCTCATACTGCCGCTTCTTTTTCTTCTCCAAGTTAACTTGCGCGTAGAGCGGCTCACCGGGTTTCGGTTGCTGCAACACACACACAAGCCAACGGTTAATTAAGGCCCTGGCTCTTTGCCGGGGGTGGATGAGGGGAGGGGCGGGCTGTGCTGCAGGGCGCAGGGAAATGGGCCCGGTCGACACCTGCTCCTCGCGTTTTCAGGGCTATTTCGCGTCTCGCTTTTTCAACCACTTAGGGGAGTTACAGTTTTACTTAGGGTCCTTTTGTCAACCTCTGTCAACTTCTCAGGTACCTTGAATATAGGAGCTCATAGGTGAAAAGCCAAGAAATGTAAGATACTGTCAGATACTCTTTTATTATGCTCGATTAATTTGGATATAAATAGATTATAAATAAGTTCGTGCAATAGTCAACGTGTCACTATAAACCATGCTTCGAGGTGCGTCTAGCTTCTTTAGTACGATAAAAGTTTCATAAATGTATGAATGTACGTGTACAAAAACGAAAAGTAACAATTCCTCTGTCACTAAAAGAACTTTCCAATCCTACCACTATTTTGTGCTGTACCCTGCTGATGAACCGAATCCCTACGGTTTCATTCAACGTTCTATTACTCTCCATAGACTCTCTTTACTTGGATCAACGAGTCGAAATTAAGTCTAAACGTATACTCGGTTAAGGAAGGGAGGCCTAAAGGCCTTGAATGGAAGTCATTAGGAGAACCTGAAAGATCTTAGGAACCTAAGACTGGGAACTGAGGCAACTTTGTACAGTCGCAAATTGGTACGAGATTAGGCAGCGATCAGCCTTCGAGTTTGTGCGTTTTCGTTGACCAAAGGTCGAATTTTGAAAGACGGTGCTCTGACGATTCCCTGGCTGGCGCTCCCTAATCGTAAAAACGTCGAATATTTGGTCCGGTAATCTCTTATGCGAAGACTCAAGCGAAATGTGTTACCTTCTATCAAAAGCCAGTAAATTAAGAGGAAACTATCGCGTCGGATGAAGATCTACATCGTGAAGTTTATTTGGATGTACATTTTCCTCGAGACGCGTGTTGTTATAAGATATTATGTAAAAATGCTAGATACGTGATAAATTCCATGGACTGACGCGTGGCCGCGTGATCTACAGGTTAATACTGTACTCTAGCGAATATGCTGCTCCACATAGTGTGGAACTCGTTATAATTGGTACTCGTTAATTGACTTAGTTTATACATCTATGTTAAATGTTCGTTAACACGTTGACTACCATGAAAGTGTCAGCAAATGAACTAGCCATTAAATGAATAAGTCAATTTGAGTCAGTGGAAATGAGTCAATTGATAAGAGTCAAATGATAAGTCAGTACTCTGAAACTAATTCGTGATATTTTTAATAGACCACCTTGTATACCTCATAACGAATAATATCGATGACGACAACATAGTAAAAGCATCTTCAATGTGACAGTCAACGTGTTAATCAACTACTCTCTCCTCCGCCGTATCACAACTATGTATTCACCTCTCGTCACTCAACTTCCTCTCAACGCTCCATTCGACGCTTGCTTGAAATGTCACCATTTCGATCCTGATGCAAGCAGATAAATAGCATAAATAAAATGTCCTGCGATTAATGTACTCCATGCATACACGCGTGTATCCTTGCCAAGCATCTCGGTATATAAATATAGAAGTGTTAACAGAAAGAACTAAGAGAGCAACTAATTTAATCTGTTCTACGTTAATCTTGTTTTGATACATCGAGTTTAGCTCTCGTTACGTCAACCCTTTACACTCTTGTTTATTGGACGTGTTATGTCGCAATTACTCTTTGTTCAAGGTCATCTTGTGCCACATGTTAATATCGTCAGGCTTTAATTCGTAAAAGTTTCGGAAGATAACATTTTACTGACCCTAGGCCATGTTGTGAGATGACTCTGTGATCTCGTGACGTGACACGTCCTTGGGAAACAACAGTCGCTTTAATCTGCAGTCTATGATCCAGGCCCTTCTCAAATGAACTCATGATTTACATTATAACTTGTACTATCTCACATATTAGGTTTTAAAAGTTCTAAGTTGGAGGTCCGATAAAGATCCACCATTCAATCTTCCAAATTTACTACAGCAATCAGTGCAGCAACAGCAAGTTGCTTTTGCAGAGTGCAAAGAGTTAAGATGGAAAGGAAGACTCAGTTCGAGCGAAACCTCTGCTGCATTGCGTTCAACGAGACACATGTGGACCGAAAACTAAATCTTGGTAACTGCGAATGAAACGAACTCGACTGTTCTGAACTTACACTTCACCTGAATGGTACGCTCTATTTGGGAGTGTCGGCCAACAGCGCATTTAGTTGTTGTTACTTACTGGCTGATAGATAGTCGGTCGGCCAACGTTGTTCGAATTCATGTTCGCCCTTTGAATCGTTCGATCCTCGTATCTGGTGCTTCCCTGGCTCGCCATGGGTCGGTTCAGTGTGCTGCAATCATAGCTACGGTTCAACGTGAGGGTCGGGGCGTTCGGGACGTTCAAAATTCGGGACTCTGCTTGAAATTACTGAACTGAGTAGAAACGAAGCGGGTACTTAAATAGAAACTGCAGAGTCCGGAACAGAAAAGGACAGGAAATAAAACGATCCGGTTTTAAGAACTTAACCAACTTGCCAATCGACTTAACCTAATTAGTATGTTTAACCAAATAGAACCTTACATAAAAGCTTAGCAAGGTTAACCCTTTGCACTCCTCAATTTCTTTTACCTACCGACTCCTTAATTTACAAAAAATATATCAAGATAAGGGTTCTCAGTAAAATGTATTGTAACAGTGCGAAGTATGTGACAAATACATTTTTCATTTATTATAAATAGCGAATAAATAAACATATATATATTTAACCAATCTATTTATCTGAATTATTTATAAGATCCAAGAGAAATGTGATGCCACACTCGACATAGGAGTGCAAAGGGTTAATGTTGGAGCAAGGTTAACGTAGATTGGCAAGGTAAAAACTAACTGAAAATGCAGCAAATTGAATGGTGGTCGATCAACAGTGTTTACCTATTGGCGTTATTGGGTGAATTAGGCCCTGAATTCCGTGCTGCCACCGTTTTCGTGACGAAATCTTGCTCCTTCCATCCGTGCTTTTTGTAAACGTCCCTCAGTTCTTGATGCTGCCACATGGTGAACAGGACTTGGCCTAAAAATTAAACAGACATCAGTAAAGCTATCAACGTAGTCTGATAGATAGAATCTGAGCCTCATAAGAATCTTGCCTGCGAACTTAAGAACGCGAGGCGTGTACTTCTGGCGTTGCCTGGTGATGTTCATCAGTCTGTCCACACCGCCAGCGTCCAGCAGGGATCTGGAGAACTCTGCGTTCTTTTTGATGACCTCGTTCAGAGTAGCAAGCACCGCTGCGATGGTGTCATCGCTGGTGCCCTGATCGTGCTGGTTATTTCCTGAGGGTAACTTCTGTATCAGGTCACGCATCGCGTACTTTCCTATTAACTCTTTGTTGCGTTGGTCTATCGCGAGGTTCCTGAGTGCCGTGGCCACCGCGCAGACCACACGATCCACCTAAATCCAGAATCACTTAGTCCACGTGCAAACTTTCGTAAGTTTAAGATTGAGATTAGACGTACCTCCATTCGCAGCAGCTCGACAAGGATAGGAAGACCTTTTTCCTTACGAACAGCTGCACGAATCTCGATGCTAGGCTGCCAGTAGCAGGCGGCGAGATTCTGGAGGGCTCCAGCAGCCGCCTCGAGCGTTTCTGGGTTCGAACAGGTGTGCAGAAGTTTCAGATAGGATTGCACCACTTCTGGCTGCCAAAGAAGCTCCATGCCTCTGACAGGCTCTGTTCTGGGGCTGGTTGTTCTCGACGCGGTGGTCTCCTTCTGAACGGGCTGACCGTCCTTCTTCTTTTTGCTGCCGCCAAAGCATCCCAAGTTTTCACCTGTGTAACAGTAATCAGGAGAACGGAGATTAAACAAGATGGAAGATAAAAGATAGCTTGATACATTCAAATTTTCCTGAACCTTTCACAGTCCAAATGTCCGAACTATAACTGAACAAGTGGACCATAAAAGATTGAAATAGCAAACTCCTGATAGAGTATTCATGTTTTAATGCTACTCTACTAAGGCCTGAAATATAGCGCAGAGCGTTAGAGCATAAAGATGCAAGCGAAGGATGCCCAGGCATGAGATTCAATTATGCACTACTGAAATTAACCATAATGCTTCAGCGGGAACGTACGTGTGTTCTGTACGTGTCTCTATCGAATGTAAACGTGATTTTTGTCTCTTAAGTTATCTACGGAATCAAATATTGAAACAGTGATTCGGACGATGACGTGTCCGAAAACTTCCACGGAATGTTCGAAGCGAGGCATGCACCGAAAGAAAAAGGAACGGTGTGAACTAAATTAGCGATGTTATTACAAGAATGTCTTACCTTGACATAAACTGTACGCTAAAAAGATTGAAACACATTTTAATTCATGCTAAAACTAGGAAGGACTGTTTTTGTTTTTTGTTCTAAATTTAACGCGGTTTCAAAAGGAGGTCTATGTAAAAGAAAGATGGACACCGAGAACAGAAAATGTGTCAGTGTTTATCGGTGTTTTGCAAAGTCAATTCTGTCCATCGAACGTATAAGCTTCTTCAGACAAACGTAAGCATCGCAACGAACGTTCGGTGTGCACGGGTGTGGAATCATTTTCATAGATTTAATATACACAGGGTCGTCTACTAGCCCTAATTACTACTTTGCGCGTCTCACAGATATATGGAACCCGGAATATATATACAAGTATACTGTACAATACTGTTGCCAAGCGAATGTCAATTACACTGTCCTTTCAGTCACGACTTTATCCTCAGACTGTCAGCCTATGACTAAATATCGATCCTACTATTCGTAGAACCAATTTTCATCGCGTTACAGTTCAACCTACTCTATGTAGAACAAGTAGCAACTCGGTTGTGACTGCGATAATTTAGCGCTACCTTTCGTGGAAGTACAGGGTGTTTCAAAAGAGGAGCTTCCACCATTATTTTTTCTCACAAAATCATCCCTTTTGGAACACCCTGTATATTACAGTCGCTCGAGAAGTCTGAGTAACTTCGTATCTTATCACCGTCTCGGAGCATCGTGAACCGCTTATCATCCAGCGCACACACAATTCGGCTGCATGCGTGTCGCCACATGCCCACTGACTAGGAAACCCGTGTTTACCATCGCAAAGAGAAAGAGAGAGACAGGGCAGGAAAAGAGGAACACTCTCATTCTCGGAATGCAATGGCCGCTTCCGACAGCCCTCACCTTTGGCTGGTGCCGCTACCCTGTTCTGCACCGTCGACTGAATCGGATGCTTGTCGTAGTTCGGGTCCTCCACCTCCTGACACCGGTAGCTCAGGTTTCGTAGGATGCACACGCAGTTCTCCACTATCTTGTTGCCGATGTTCGACTTCTCTATGGCGGACCGCACCACGTACAGCAAGGCGTCCACCAGACCCTCGCATTCTCGTAGCTTCTTCCTCGCGTACTCTCCGGCGCTGGAGACGTTTCTTAGAACCCCAGAGGCGTTTCTGAATACTGTCGACCAGCAGGTCTCCCCGCTGGAGGAGCTGGGGTCCCAGCCACTGTGCGGTATGATTATGTTGTTCACCACCATCGTTACACCGTCGTCGATGATGGACTTCTTGAGATCCTGCAAAAGGAATAGGATTAGTCGCTTCGATTTTTAGATTAAGTTAGTATGAGAGACTGTAGACCCTCTTTAGGATCTTCCTGAGTTCTGGACTCTTCATGGGTCCACATTAATCCCTATCTAAAGGAAGGCAGTCTACCAGAATGTATAAAGAGTTTGGATGATAATGTGGACTCCTTAGGATCAGCCTGGGTCCTGGACTCTCCATGGGTCCACATTAATCCCTATCTAAAGGAAGGCAGTCTACCAGAATGTATAAAGAGTTTGGATGATAATGTGGACTCCTTAGGATCAGCCTGGGTCCTGGACTCTCCATGGGTCCACATTAATCCCTATCTAAAGGAAGGTAGCTTACTAGAATGTATAAAAAGTTTGGATGATAATGTAGACCCTCTTTAGGATCATCCTAGGTCCTGGACTCTCCATGGGTCCACATTAATCCCTATCTAAAGGAAGGCAGTCTACCAGAATGTATAAAGAGTTTGGATGATAATGTGGACTCCTTAGGATCAGCCTGGGTCCTGGACTCTCCATGGGTCCACATTAATCCCTATCTAAAAGAAGGTAGCCTATCAGAGTGTATAAAGAATCTGAATGTTAATGTAGACCCTCTTTAGGATCATCTGGGTTCTAGACTCTTCATGGGTCCACATTAATCCCTATCTAACAGAAGGTAGCCTACGAGAATGTATAAAGATTTTGGATGATAATGTGGACTCTTTAGGATCCTCCTGGGTCCCGGACTGTCCATGGGTCCACATTAATCCCTATCTAAAGGAAGGCAGTCTACCAGAATGTATAAAAAGTTTGGATGATAATGTAGACCCTCTTTAGGATCATCCTAGGTCCTGGACTCTCCATGGGTCCACATTAATCCCTATCTAAAGGAAGGCAGTCTACCAGAATGTATAAAGCGTTTGTATAACAATGTACGATTTAGTGGCACTCAAAGCAACAAGGTACAAGTACCTTGGGTGTTGCCTCAAGTACACTTACTGCTTTGCATAAAGTACGGCGATCATAAGTAGCTCACCTCGCAGGAGGACAGGTTCCACAGCACCCCGGTAACCAGCTCCTTAACGTCCGCGTCGGACGTCCTGCGTAACAGATTGATCAGAGCCGGTACCCCGCCAGCGTTCTTGATGGCCCTCTTGTTCTCGTCGTTCTGTCTTCCGTAGGACAGATTCCTGAGCGCTCCGCAAGCGTTCCTGTACACGTCCGGATTATCGTGATCCAAGAGCTGCACCAGCGGCGGTATTCCTCCGAGACTTCGCGTCTTCTGTTTGTTAGGGTCGTCCATGTAGCAGAGGTGCTGCAGATAGGCCGCGGCGTTGGCCTTGATTATGTTGTTGGGATTGCTGAGGAAGCCTATCACCTCGGAGAGGTTCGGGTCCCTCCATCTCATGGACTTCTGGTCGTCGTCGAGGGGGCTGGCCATGCCGGGCACGACTGGATGCCGGGACTGTAGCCGTTGAAGGTGTACCTCGTCCTCGAATATGCCTGGTGGGACTCCCGAGGTCAAGGGAACCGGATGGCCCTCGTCGTAGGCGGGTACGTCGCTAGGAACTGCCACTGGACCCACGCCGACGCCAGGGCCGTAGCCAACGGGTCCATAGGGGGACGGAGACACGTAACCGTAGGCCACTTTGTTCTCGTCTGGAAGGGGGATGACGCGTTACCGGAGGAACGCTTCGTCGCGGAACACTCGACTTGTTGGCGTTTCGACGCGATGCGCATAATTCACTCGCATTATCGTTTAGTGGAATATGGAAGTTAAACGAAGATAAACGCCGGACGAGATGAAGCTTACAATGAGAGCGAGAGAAGAAAGAGCGTAGAATGATAGATAGAGCGACAGAGAGAGAGAGGAAGGCGTTAAATAAATTATTGATGTGACCCTACCATGAGGATGCTGAGAGGGTTCGCCGGAGTCATCCATATTCCAAGAGTTGCTGATTTGATCTAGAGGGGACACAAAATAACAAACGAATGTCAGGCATTGGGGATAATTAAAGTGAATTATGCTGCGGCCCGTGCGAACACCGGACGAACAGCCGCGGCTGCAACACGATAGCCAGAGTATCTAGACCCCCAAAAATCGGACCAATCCAGGAATCCGCTGTCCCAAAACACAACGTACCATATTGATCTCCAGGACCCCCAGGACTAGGAGTGATACGATAATGATCTTGCAACGCGGGATTCAGACCTGGATCGATGTCGTTATAACCGCCTTCCACGTACGGTGCCGCCTTGCGCAAGTATTCTGAAAGCACAAAACGTCCTGACAACCACCGTTAAATGAGTGATACCAAAAATAACTCACCATGCGGCGGCGAAGCGCGACTGTGTTCCGAAGGACTGTGAGGACTGTGTGGAGAATGCGAGCGTGGCATGTAGATACCATGAGGTCCCGGATAACCGGGCTGCGGCGGATATCCAAGATATTGCTCGTAATGATCGAAGCCGACCATGTAGGAGTCTGTCGGATACCGGGGATCCGCATGTTGATAGTCCTGGGACATCAACGGCACCGACATGTAGCTCACAGCACCTGGGTCCGGCTCCATGTGCGAAACCTCGCGTACCACCTTTGATACGTTCGTTACCTGGAGACGGTAATGGGGTGACGTTACAAATTTGAGCAACGTGTGATCTAATTTGGGGGGACAGCGGGAGAATGTGTTGTGTGGAGGTGCAATATGTGGTGGTACTATGTTCGGCGGTTTGAATGTGTAGTGATTCGTGGGGATAGCGTAGTACGGTGCGTAGTGAATCTGATGCGTGGGGATACCACGTTTGGCGATTTGGGGACGCGGGGAATCCAATCCGTAGGAATACCACGCGTGGTAATACCAAGCTCTGCGATTTGGACGCGTGGGGAGCCCAACCCGTCGGGATTCCAACCCGTGGGGATACCACGCGTGGGGATACCAAGCTCAGCGATTTGGACGCGTGGGGAGTCCAACCCGTCGGGATTCCAACGCGTGGGGATACCACGCGTGGTGATATCAAGCTTAGCGCTTTGGACGCGTGGGGATTCCAACGCGTGGGTATACCACGCGTGGTGATACCAAGCTCAGCAATTTGAACGCGTGGAGAGTCCAACCCGTCGGGATTCCAACCCGTGGGGATACCACGCGTGGTGATACCAAGCTCAGCGCTTTGGACGCGTGGGGATTCCAACCCGTGGGGATACCACGCGTGGTGACACCAAGCTCAGCAATTTGGACGCGTGGGGAGTCCAACCCGTGGGGATACCACGCGTGGGGATACCAAGCCCAGCAATTTGGACGCGTGGGGAGTCCAACCCGTGGGAATACCACGCGTGGTGACACCAAGCTCTGCGATTTGGACGCGTGGGGAGTCCAACCCGTGGGTCTACCACGCGTGGCGATACCAGCTCAGCGATTTGGACATGTGGGGAGTCCAACCCGTGGAGCTACCACGCGTGATAATACCAAGCTCAGCGATTTCAACATATAGTGATTGCAACCCGTGGGGATACCACTCGGTGGCAATACGACGCACAGCAAATCTAATGCGTGACGATACAACACGTGGTGATACAACGCTCAGCGATTTAAACGCATAGTGAGTGCAATCCATGAAGACACCACGCGTAGCGAATTTAACGGGTAACAATACGCTGCGTAGCGAATGTAATGCGTGCGATACAACGCATAGAGAGTCCCATGATCTGTGGTCCAAGGAGTGTGGCGAAAAAGGATGCTTGAGAGTAAAATTGGAAACGAATCCTCACTTGTTGAGTGGTTTGTTGCTTATGGCTCCGGATGAGTAATGGATCCTCCTGGACAGACAAATGGGACGAATGCAACGAATGGGTGTCCGCCTGGCCGTTACTTCCGTGGTAATCTGCATCACTCTGTCCGCTGCAAAACGTCGAGGAAATAATGATCAATTAGAGGGAAACGAGCTATTGGGGTTTTTATTTGTTCGATGGCTTACGTATATTGCGGCATGTCGGGGCCCTTCTCCTGGAGAACGCGTCTGGAAAAGTATAATTGGAAAATCACCGAGATGTTAGACACGTCACGGGAACAAACAAGAAATTATTGATCTAAATGGCACGGATGAACAAATCTGTTTGGAGGATGGAGGTAATGGAAAGCGATGAAAATGAAGCGGTGCATCCAGAAATCTAACGATGCCTAACTACTCGTCACTTTCAGACATGCTTAACACACGGACGTTAAGACACACACGCTGGTTAGTGCGGTTGAAGTTATTCATTCTGAGTGTCATGTGTACGTTTCTGGAGCGGAAATCGATGAAACTATGCCAACTATCTTTTTCGATCGAATAAAACAATCTACTGTTTCGATAATTGTTTTCTAACCTTCGTAGACACTTTCCAACTGGGTCGATCCAACCGAGTTGTTCCAACTGTTCAGGTCAATTTTAAAATGGCAGAAAGAAATTTGGAAGTTTGTGAACCCAGAAGTTTTCGAGCGAAAAAGAGTTGGAATTCGCTCGAAGCTTTTCGAGGATGAATGATTAGCAATGATAACGATTGCGATGAATAGTACACTCACGTTCAGAATGACTAACCTCTGTCGGTTGATTAAGTCATGTTAGTCACCTCTGCGTGATCTCAGTGTGCGTTATGCTGTGCTCTTGTCTCTGCTCGATCCGACGATTCACCAGGCTGACATTAACAATTTCGCAGACGATTAATTAAAATTCGTGGTTCAACGTTTCCTAACTCAAATGTCTCATCTGAATTACTGATGCAGTCAGTAACTGTCTTTTTCGTTCATTGAGTTAGAAATTCTGTATAGCCAATGTGTGAACAGGGTGTTGCCAATTAGAGAGGAAAGCAGAATTTGGCGAGAGCAAAGAGGGGGATTGATTGGTCAGTTCGAGTAGAGAAAGACACTTACAGACAGGAGTCAACCAGCTGATTATTTGACATACCAGCTGATTCTTCGTCTCTTGCTGCTCAGCAGTCGATGACGTCCCCTGAAACACAAACAAAATTAATATAGACTACATGTGACTACATCTGACAGCATGTAACTTCATGTGACTACATGTGACTACATGTGACTTCATATGAGTACATGTGACTACATGTGACTACATGTGACTTCATGTGAGTACATGTGGCTACATGTGACTACATGTGACTTCATGTGAGTACATGTGAGTACATGTGACTATATGTGATTATATGTGAGTACATGTGACTACATGTGACTATATGTGATTACATATGACTACATGTGACTACATGTGACTACATGTGAGTACATGTGACTATATGTGATTACATATGACTACATGTGACTACATGTGAGTACATGTGACTACATGTGACTTCATGTGAGTACATGTGACTTCATGTGAGTACATGTGACTACATGTGACTTCATGTGACTTCATATAACTACATGTGACTACGTGTGACTTCATGTGCCTACATGTGACTACATGTGACTACATGTGACTTCATGTGACTTCATGTGACTGTATTTGACTTCATGTGACTGCATAACTACAGCAGTAAGGTATAAATCTCTACAGACAAGTAAAATATGGACCACAAACGCTTAAAACGTTAATTGTGATCTCTTCGATTAACATCCCTCTTTTTTCAATCTAAGTCGTTAATTAATTTTATCACTTTCGCATAGGCAGGGCGGTTAACCGTAGCAAAGCGTATCACTCTGCTATCGCGTATAATCACATCATTAAAAAAAAAAGTATAAAAGAAAAACGAACAAAAGAGTTTAATTGATTTGTCGCCTCGCCGCTCTTTTTATCGCCCGTTTCGATTACCCCTCCTTCAGTTCTCGAACACGTACGTGAACGGAGGAGAGAGAGTAGTTCGCTAACGAATTCACCTAACGCAACTACGATGCCTGAATTTTGCAGGGACGAGCCTCCTAAAAGGATTCCTGCTTGTTCGACTATAGTTCCCGCCGGCTGGAATTCTATCCAACTAACGAACTTCGTTTCCACTTATTGTCCCTACGGTTGTTCTTTTTTCAGGCGGGATAATCGTCTTGCCTGATAGAAAACCATTCACTGCTAACAACTATTTCCGGGCTGCGAAAATCAGCCACGAGTGTAACGTTATGGCACGAAAAGAGTCAAGTTTGTGAAAGGGGAGAGTGCATTTACATATTACTGTTTGTAAGTATAGATATAGCACTTGGATAGAATAGGCTACACTGTGAGAATGGAGAGACGTGTCCTTTCAACGATAGGAACCTTCGATGATGGGTCCTTGGAAGGAACCTTGAAGTGATGAGGTCTCCTGTGATGGATGCATCCATCGGAGCCTTCCACCTATGGCACTTTTCAGTGCAGAAGCCTTCCATCAATAAAGCCACTCAAGAAGGTCTTCCAGTGGAAGAAAGTGCTACGATGGCAACAGCTGGGATGGGATCTGCCACTGGTAGTACCTGCCACTTGTAGGGCTAGGAGTGATGGAATCTACTAGTGATGGGACGTAGCAGTGATGGGACCTAGTAGTGATGGGATCTAGCAGTGATGGGACGTAGCAGTGATGGGACGTAGCAGTGATGGGACGTAGCAGTGATGGGACCTAGCAGTGATGGGGCCTAGCAGTGATGGGACGTAGCAGTGATGGGACCCAGCAGTGATGGGACCTAGCAGTGATGGGATCTACCAGTGATGGGACTTAGCAGTGATAGGACCTAGCAGTGATGGGATCTACCAGTGATGGGGCCTAGCAGTGATAGGACCTAGGAGTAATGGGATCCACCAGTGATGGGACCTAGCAGTGATGGGATCTACCAGTGATGGGGCCTAGCAGTGATGGGATTTACCAGTGATGGAATCTACCAGTGATGGGATCTAACAGTGATGGGATCTAGCAGTGATTGAACCTCCCAGTAACGTCACTTGTCACTGACAGCACCTGCCATTTATGGAAACAGCACGAATATCATCTAGCAGTTATGAGAGCTATCACACTTAACAGTGATAGGATCTACTGAACGCATCACAGATAGAACATACATCGATAGAATCAACTGATGTAGCTCCCACTAGTAAGACCATTCATCAAATAAGCCCGCAGAGTGATGCACAAACAAGACTTGTCACCAGTAGAATCCTAAGTAAGCTAACATGCCATAAGCTTTCATTTAGGTATTCTCTCAGTTAGGTACATATGCACATGCACTTCCGGTACCGTGATACGATGTACGTGTCTATATAGATGTAATCGTATATTCATACGGCACTGTACAAATAAAGGCACTCTGTCTTTTCGAGTAATAATTGCGTTAACGTCGATTAGGAACGGTAGCCCGGTGACATCGATTTCTTTCCTCGAGCAAGCTGAATATTCCAGGTCGAAAGAAATTCCCTTTTACCATCCATTCTTAGGAAGGAAGAGCTCTACGGATTCTCACGTTATTTGCCGTAGTCATCACTTTCTTCTTCTTTTGTTTTTACGTTCAGCTCTTCGGTTGAATTCGACCACGTGCCCTTAATAATTCCATCAGGAATCTGGAACTTCTGACTCGCGTTTGTTCGAGATAAACGAAGAAGATGAATTGAAACATATTCGAGCAGGTACAAGTAGATTGTGAAGGATGATTTGATTGGGTGGAAGGTTATTCACCTCGGGCTGATACAGGATGTCTCAAACGTGCTACGAAAACTGTTGATTTTGCTATCTGTGATTTTATCTGCGGGGGAAAAGTACACTTTACTCTTGTTCGAGTCGTGGGAGACTGAGAGACTAATTGATGCGATGACAAACCGCAAGGTTGATCAACTAAATAGCTGCTGATCAGATATCTCGGTAGCCTAATGCCGCAGCCACGCTGGAGATAAACAAGCGTGGCTACGGCTTAATGGTGGCATGTACGAACCACAAGAATTGAACAGTAAAATATTTGTTGCATGATGACGTGTCTCAGTAGCCTAAAGCCGCATCCACGATGGAGGTAACAAACCAGCGTGTCTGCGACTTAATAGTGACTTGTACAAACTGCAAGATTGAACAGTGAAATATCTGTTACATGATGACGTGTCTCAGTAGCCTAAAGCCGCATCCACGCTGGAGGTAACAAACAAGTGTGGCTACGGCTTAATGGTGGCAAACCACAAGATTGAAGAGTGAAATATGTATTGCATAACCACATATCTCAGTAGCCTAAAGCCCCATCCACGCTGGAGAAAACAATCAAGCGTGGCTGCGGCTTAAGGTCGAAGCTGCTCAAGAGATAAACCAATTTTGAACCGTATCTCAAAAACCAGCACTCCAATCGCAAAGCAGTAAAGGACTTTCCGATTTCTTTTGACTCAAAGAATCTACAGGAAGCACGCATACCACCCGAGACAAAAGCATTTCGCCGATATCGTCATACAAACCGCAATTACGTTATTGGCAATAAGATATGCGATCTGAGGGTAGGAATAAAAGAGAGGAGGCGGAGCTGACGCGTTCCAGGGCACGCGTTTAACATACTTGCTTTGAATGCGTAATTTTCAACGAGCAGCAGAGGGAAGGAAGAGGGAGTCTTATAAAAGACATTCCACGTCGTTTACCCAGTGAAAAAAATCGACCAACCATTAATCTCTTCGACATATCGCCGGGAATATTTTAAGATAAAGGAAGATATTAACGTCTTTGATGCACAGCGAGCCTTCAGTGACTATTGTAATCGCTGATAGGAGGGTTCACGCGTTCGGGGAAGTTTCGAAAAATCTAGGACAACGTCGCTGTGGGGCCTGTCCCGTAACAGTGTCTGGCGTATTAGATTTTTTGCACGTCAGGACGAATTCATAGCGGGCCTGGGAGCCTTTAGCTACGAAGCGGGAATATCCCGACGGCGACGCTGCTCCACAATCGCGACGCTGATTTTCCTCCTCGGAAATTTTACCCAGGAGTTCCTACTCCACAGGACTTTTTCACGAATGCAAAATATAAAGCATAGGAAATCGAAACTGTATTGTAAGGGAAGTAGGCTAGGTAATACTAGGTGTGCTCATATTTGGAGTCTCACAGTCGAGATCTGAAAAGATGGCGAATGTAGATTTGGAACCATCCAGTAGAGGGATCTGTCACTGGTAGTACCTGCCACTTATAGGGCTACGAGTGATGGAATCTACCTGTGATGGGACCTACTAGTGATGGGAAATAGCGGTGATGAGATCTAGCAGTGATGGGACGTAGTAGTGATGGGATCTAGCAGTGATGGAACCTAGTAGTGATGGGATCTACCAGTGATGGGGTCTAGCAGTGATGGGACGTAGCAGTGATGGGACCCAGCAGTGATGGGACGTAGTAGTGATGGGATCTAGCAGTGATGGGACGTAGTAGTGATGGGATCTAGCAGTGATGGGACGTAGTAGTGATGGGATCTAGCAGTGATGGGACGTAGTAGTGATGGGATCTAGCAGTGATGGGACGTAGTAGTGATGGGATCTAGCAGTGATGGGACGTAGTAGTGATGGGATCTAGCAGTGATGGGACGTGTAGCAGTGATGGGACCGACCTAGCAGTGATGGGATCTACCAGTGATGGGACCTAGCAGTGATGGGATCTACCAGTGATGGGACCTAGCAGTGATGGGATCTACCAGTGATGGGACCTAGCAGTGATGGGACCTACCAGTGATGGGATCTACCAGTGATGGGACCTAGCAGTGATGGGACCTACCAGTGATGGGATCTACCAGTGATGGGACCTAGCAGTGATGGGACCTACCAGTGATGGGATCTACCAGTGATGGGACCTAGCAGTGATGGGATCTAGCAGTGATGGGACGTAGTAGTGATGGGATCTAGCAGTGATGGGACGTAGTAGTGATGGGATCTAGCAGTGATGGGACGTAGTAGTGATGGGATCTAGCAGTGATGGGACGTAGTAGTGATGGGATCTAGCAGTGATGGGACGTAGTAGTGATGGGATCTAGCAGTGATGGGACGTAGTAGTGATGGGATCTAGCAGTGATGGGACCTAGCAGTGATGGGAC